CTTGTGCGGCTGCACTAGCTGACAATTGCTCAGGGCTTGCGGTCTCAAGGTCAAAAAGATCTGGTGGACGTCGTCCAGTTGCTATCTCTATTGGTGAATATCCACTGATTGTCAATTGACAATTTCTTGCCCAAACTACCTTCTTGACCACTTCTCTGACCGTAACACCACGAAAACGTGGATCATCCAGATCTACTTTCATAACATGCCACATACATTTGAACAAACGTACAGCTGTCTCTGCTCGGTTTGGCCAAGGAGTTCTTGGTCCACAAGGACGTTGTTGTATACCATCAAACCTGTAGTATTCAACAAAAGCATCTGTGAAAAAGGCTTCGTCTCCTACGATGGCCTTCGGAACACAGTTGTTCTCATCAGACCACTGCCTCAATGCTTGAATGGTGGTTTGATCTATGAGGTCTTTCTGTGCCGTAGCCCAGAGAAGATTTGTGGCACCATCAAGAACAGTAGAATGATATACTTGTTCTTGTGAAGTTCAACCTCACAATGATCAGCAAAAACAACATCACCTAAACATGAAGCTCTAATCCCGGAGACTCTGGCTCGTGGCGGAGGTGCCACTGAAGTGTTACAAACACGGCAGTTCCTGACAACTGATTCATACTTCTCTAAAACAGAGTCAGGAAGCTTCAACATAGAAACACGCCTACGAAACTGAGTAGGACTCATATGGTAGTGCTTCACATGAAGCTTATAAAGCTCTACCTTGTCCTCCAGTCTCTGCAACATCTTCCTATATGCCGGTGTCATTGCAACAACTTCACTACCAGGTAATGGGATTGAAATCCGCCTAGGCTCAAGAGCGCCATCACCTGGTTCAAGTGGTTCATGTTTATCACTTGATGGTCCTTTTGATGCCTTAGGAATTTCTACAAGTTCACCTTCTGGCCTCTCAGGTGGTTCTGAGGGAGTATACTCCTCAAGATCATCACCCTTTAAATCATGTGGAGGCTCAGATGGTTTCAACTTGTGTCCTTTCCAAAATGGATCATAACCCTTGGAGGTATACCGAAACTTTGGCGGCACAGGCTTTTCCGCGGCACTGGATGGTGCACCTTCCTTCTCTGAAGAGAAGCCTGGTTCCCTGTCCTTTGCAATGGGAACCTTCTCTGAGGAGGAGCGCACCACTGCATCGGGATCACCAATGCCACGGTGCTCAATGCCAGCCTTCCTGATCTTTAGATCTGGAATTTTGGCATCTGGCTTGAACTTAAAAATTGTTCTACCACGCCATTCATAGACAATTTGTAGGTCCTTCCATTTTGCCTGGCGCCAATCATCTATCTTCTTGATCTCTTCTCCTCCTTCTTTCTTCTTGATGATTGTCAGTCGCAAGTCTTCCAGTAAGTCAGTGTCTACAGGACAGGACTTAGTTGCTGGGAAAAGAATCTTCCTGTAATCCTTGTGGTGACGTGTCAGTTCTCTCTTGTGAAGATCTACTTCCCAGTAGTCAACCACAGGATATGCATGCTCAGCTTCATCTTCATCACTATTGTGATCAACCGAAATATGGCCGTATTCATAGTGAGTGAAGTGAGAGTAAAAGCTCTTCTCGCGCCGAGCCTGCAAACGCACGTCAGGCAGATACCATGCAATATCTTGGAAGTCCAAAACAAGATGAGTACTGGCTGCAACCTTCAACTCCAAAAATTTGATACCTAGAGGCACCGATGTCAGGTAAGCATGTTGAGGTGTCAGCCTGAGTTCAAAGCCTAAGTTCCTCATCTGTGGCAAGCTCATAAGCAAAGGGACTTCTCCTTCTTCAACTATGTCGAACTCTGTATTGTGGATCGTCCATGCACGATCATACATGTAAATCACCAGTTTCTGAGAGCAAGAAGCCTTCTGAGAATTGGCGAAGTAAAACTTGCTCTTGGTAGCCTCAAAAGAGTACCATAGTCCACAATTTGGGTGATTGTCGACATAGTTACAAAAATAATCGACTGCACGCCTTGATCCCATAGCTCTAGTGCATCCAATGTCCAGGATTGCAATAGTTGGCGGGAAGCGATTCTCAGTCAAAAATGAAATAGCCTGCGTCTCCTTCACTTCTTCCTCAGCGCTCATAAGCGCAAAGCCATCAGGAGCACTTGTGAGCATCTCCTTTGACAAAGAGTACCTCACAGGGGCACTCATGTCATCGAAGATCATCTCACCATTGTTGACCTTACAGTCAGCTTCATCTTGACATGAGGTCATCATGCCTGACAGCAAGTTCACCTCACTGTCATTGACTTCAGCTGCTGTTGTCACACAATGCGCAAAGAAACCTTGGTGGCTTCCTGATGCTTGTGAAGATCTTGAAGGTGCAGGCAAAGAACGTGGCTGTTGTTGATTTGCATAGTTTGCATCTTGTTTGCCATCTCCTTTATCTTTTCCTTTTCCTTTCTTGCCTTTTCTCTTGCCTTTTCCTTTTCCTTTGTGGGAAAACCATGCTTCTTCAAGTTGTTGCCAAAAGTCATGGGCATCTTCATGTTCTCCTTGAAGATAGTCATTCATATCTTCGGCAAGAATAGCATCATATGCTACTTGGTTTGACTCCCAAGTGTCCTCATAAGGATTCTCTTCAAAATACTCATCTGGATAAGTTGTCGATTGCTCATCAGCATAATGGCCTTTACCTCGTCTCTTTCCTCCTTTTCCTTTTCCTCGAGGTCTGAAAAATCTGCGGCCTGATCTTCCTTTGCCTTTTCCTTTTCTTCTACCTTTTCCTTTGCCTTTTCTGGCTCTTCTTCCTTGGAATCTCCTCTGGAACCAAGAGAAATTCTGTTCATCATATACCCAAAAGACATCGTCCAGGGCATCAAGGAATCCTTCTGTTCCATCTTCTTCATCTTCGGCCCAATAGCCATATGTATACCATCGAGTTCTCCTTCGTCTAATACGAGAAATGATCTTCTACCTCCAGCACCTGTTGGCTGCATCAGAGGATTCTCTACTGAAGTCTTTGTTGTGCAGAACATCTCAATGAAAACTGTCCTCAACTCTGTTGTGGTGTATTGCTGCAGGACTCTACCACGATGAGTCATCAAAGAGGTCAGAGTGTTCCTCTGGTCCTGAGACAAATCGCAAGTGACAGCATGAGTAAGGCAATGAGATTTTCTCCTAAAGGAAAATCGTTCTGATGAAGAATTCTCAGATTGCCATTGACATTTTGCATGATTTCCTGAATTCTTTCCGCTGTTGGAGCTACTCCAGTCATCGCTGCATCAGCTTGCATCTGAGCTTGTACCTGAGGATGTACTTGTGTTACTGGATCCAACATGTCCATCCAACTGCTCATAAGCCTTTGGAGTAAAATCTGAAATCTTGTCATCCACTTCATCATGTCGGCTGATCCGCGATTGAAGCGCACGAATTGCATAAACCTGTACAGGAATACATTGGTTGATCCTTTCACAAAATATGGTCGTAGTACTCGTTTGAAGTATTCTACTCCAGCTCCTGGTGGATCATTTGCCTTCAATGCATCTCTGTCTAAAACTCGCTTGTATACAGCTGCTTCTCCTTCTAATCTGTTTCTCAAAGCTGGTCCTCTCTTCTCATCTTCCAGCTCGGTGATATCACACCAATCGTCTATGGCATCCTCATACGAAAACCATGAAGTCTTTCCATCATAAGATGGGGGCACCTTTGTAGTGACCTGTGTTGTCATTGCTATAGCTGCTGGTTCTCTTCTCACATGCCTATTCACATAGGCTGCTGGCTCAAAAGCCACATCCGCATCAGGCTCTTCCCAGTCGTCAATCCAATCCATGGCCGTTTGCCTAAAAGCAAGTCTATGCCTAGGAAAGGAGCTCACCTGGGTCTTCCAGGATCACTGCTCCGCTACCACTGAAAGAGTGACTAGGGTGTACACGGTTGAGGTGCAGACCGCTAGTGTCTTTTATGCGCAGAGTCTTATCCTCTTGAGCCTTATGGCAGTCAAGCATGGACACACTAGATAGGCCACTGGAGTGGAACCTGTACAAGTAGGCCTCTACATTTCAGGGGGGGGGGCCCCCCTACATATGAAATTTTCACGTGATGCGGCGATCCCGAGGATTCCAGCCCCTCACTTGCTAAAGCAAGGACAACTCCAGCTAGCTGGTGCTAGCTTTCGTGATAATTACACCTCTCTCACTGTTTTCCTTTTCTGGACTCCTTCGTCTTCTTCGGATTCCGCTTCCTTCCACGGCCCCCTGTACTGCTGCAGATTTACAACCACCCCCTCCCACACCCCTATTGCTCAGTTCGTTCGCCCATTGAGGACTCAGCCATGCCTATCGGCTGACTTTCGTAAAGTAAAAACCTAAAGAAACACATAAATTTAACCAGATCCGAAACAACGGCTTGTTCTGGGCTGCGACCTTCGGACTTTCGGCCACAGCATGGAACCCACGGTGGAAACGGACCGCCAAAGCCCATAGAACTTTGACAGAGCTGAGTAGGTGCCATGGAGGGTCAGGATTCGGCGAAACGGTCAGAGAGTCACAGGGCTCTTCGGAAAGGTTTGGTGCTTCGCCTGCCTCAGCCATAGCAAGCCGTAGGCCAAGGAAAAGCGAGGCAAAATAGGTACATCTGGCTTTGTCCAAAGCCATCTGGTTCTTCTGAACCGTGCTGCAGCTGTATCCATCGCACCAAGTATCTAACCCTTGTCTTTTCAATCAGTCTGCAAATTGTGCTGCAAACCTACGGAGCTGTCCAAGCATGTCAAACTGAAAAATGGATGCCGAGTTGACGAATTCGCATCTGCAAAAAGTTTGTAAAGGAAGGAATCCAACACAATCCTGTCACTGCTGTTACATGTGGTACTGAGTCCCTCGTCATGTCGTGCTCAAGAAGCCCAAAATGACGCTCTCACGAAAGAAAAGCAAGGGCCCACTTGTTCAGTCATCAATTCGGTGTACATTCTAGCTGCTTAGCTGTTATTACTAAATGCCAGACTTCACTCGCGTCATTCAGGAACTCCGGCTTTGCGCCACTGATAGTGGGTGTGCCTCCAAGTCAAAGGTGTTGTCAGGACATGCCTGGACAATGGGCACATCTGTCTTGAAGAAGAACGTTCAAAGGCTGTGCACCAAGCTTGGTACCATCAGAAGGAACAACAACGTGTCGGCAGCAGAGCTTGCTGATGCACGCACGCCTAGCAACAAGCTAATCTTACCTACTTGCCTCGTTACTATTACAGTCTCTTGAAGCCAAAGGGTGCCATTCAATAATCGCACTTATACACCTCTGCACAAAATGTGGAGCAATGTGTCCTGCCAAAGAAGGAGTTAGGCAGGGGGAGGCCACGCTCAGTTTCAGGCAGACAGCAGTCGCGCACAAAATATGACTGCTCAGGTATGGCCAAAGACTTGGCTTTGAAGCTCTATGTCACATCATCATTCAAGTAATTATACAAATATATACGTATATACAAAGAAAACATGTGTAGTTTCATTGTATGGAAGGGTGATTAAATGATACAGTGATGGAGTCAGCCTTTCTGCAAGTTCAAAGTTCTGTTCTTGCAACAACACTCGTGATAAGAATACAAAAAAAGGAATTATATACGTGACATTCTGATAGCCAGCTCTCTCCAACCCAGGAGAAATTACTTTACATGCGTCACAGCAAAGTTGACTCATAACAAAGACCTTTTGGACTTATATAAGTATCAGTGGAAGACAGTGCATGGGGTCCTGATCGCTGCTCCGCATGCTGCCAAGCATGCTCAGCCTGCACACCAATCTGTCTTGCGAAATGGATTTCGTGTTTTTGAATGCTATGGCTACTTCCATGAACATAAATCACAAGGAGAGGCCGGACTAACCAAACATGCAAAATCTGGCCTCTCTAATGGCAAATTGCTGACAAGCAATCTGAGTAAGTCCTGGAACAGCTCTGCACAAATTTCACAAACAAAGGGTTGCTTCAAGACAAAAGTATTTACGGCGCCTCGTTGCAAACAAGGTCTGGATCAAGAAGTAGGGCGTGGTTTTCCTCGTCCGCAACCACTTCTGGTATAATCTCCTGAAGTAAGATTCCATCTCTCCAAACAAGGGCCTCCATCTTCCCCCAACGACCGAAAGTGAGTGAAACAAAGAGTGAGAGAGAGGGAGCAAGCAAGAAAGTGTCGTTCTCTAGAAATTTTGCCTGTAGAGCCGTTCCTTGACCCATTGTTTTGACAGCAAGTAGGGCAGTCGCTGCTTTGGCCTCATATCAATCTAAAGTCTTCACAAAACAACTGCATGGCATGCTGGGGTGATCTGAGAAGGGTACCCAGTCTGCAAAAGTTTGCTGAGTTCCTCTACAAAGACCTCTTTGCCTGGCACTTGAAAGTCTGAAATGCGTGGGGCATGCTAGCTTTTGCTTGAACATGGAAACATATTGCTTTAGCACCTGAAACACTCCTTCCTATGAGCAATGTTGCCTTCAACCAACTGGAACACCTGTGGTCACGTCAATTACTTTGGGCGATCAAGGGTTTGTTCGTGCCAGCCAAATCGGCAGCCAAAGCCGCATTGAACCATGCGTAGTGCATTAGCACCGGAAGCACCTTTTCCTATCTTGTTTCTAGGCGGGCGCAAGAACCTTTTAGGTGATGTTGGCTAAAGAGTCTCCCGCATTCCCACTTCCCAAAAGTGACAACAACAGGGGGTCAACACACAGAACACCAACAAACAGACACCAAGCGTTGTTGGGATGCACCGGCTGAGGCTTCAAACAGCAAAATGAAAGGACTCAGTTGCTAAGGGCGCCATTCACCGGCTTCACGAAGCCAAATCAAAAGAACAAGGGGCCACGCTATCTGCCTCAAGAGGCAATGCTCAAGAAAAGGCCTCAAAAGGCAACCCCAACAGGCTAGAGGACGGTGCCAAGGTCAGGGGGATGATCCCAAGGTTTTCGCCCGCCGGCGCAGTCGCTGGCATACTAAGCTAAGTCAAGGGATTGATCGTGTGACATCTAACAGGCACAAGCTGCCGGGAACCGTTCATGTGCTCGTTACTGTCTCACTACGTCATCCTTTTACTCAAGTGGCATATCCAAATCACTGCGATGGAATGAAGAGTCGCTTGCAAGACTTCCGTGATTCTGCCAAATGTGCCAGCCTCCCTGAGCAGGCTTCCCAAAGTTCATGGTTTGAAGGGCTTGAAGCTCTTCCTGGCAAAGCCCTTTTCACAACTGCAAAATGTCCATTGGATTCTTAGCAAAAGCAGTGGCAGTGGAGAACGTCAAGCATCTATTGGTGGGAATGGCACAAACCTTATCATTGGTCAACACGAGTACCGTACAAAAAATGTTTCTATCTGCTGTGCCTTGGAAAAGTAAGAGTCTTGGCACTTTTCAGTGATCCTCTGCATCTTGGGCCTCCCAACGAGGCGGTTCTTTGTTTTCAAGTTCCGTTTCCAGAAAGATGCGGTTGCCTTGATGCTGTTCTTAGCTGCGGCCGTGCAGGATCTGGAGGGCCTCAACTGCCATACAGCCCGTCTGCTTTGCGGGGAAGCATCACGAAGCTCGTTAGGAAGTGGTGAATCAAACATGGGGCAAGGAGGAGCACCTGACCTTGTGGGGTAGCTGGCGCAGTGCTGCCAGAACCTCCAATCACAACGCTGAATTCAGCTCTTCAAGGGATTGTAACATGCTGATTTGTCAACTTTTGCAAGCTTGGCAAACCCTACTTCCCATATATATATATATACATACCAATCGTTTCTAGCAAGAAAGTAATGGAAAGCCTATGGCGTCAAAAGTGGGGCTGTGCAACAGCTTGGCCTCTTTTGGCCGGACCTTCAATGTTTTTGGCAATCTCCTAGCAAGTGCAGTTCATATTACATAAACAGCCTGCATAAACTAGATGAGAGGAACATTAACACACTCAAACGAATGAGTTAGCCAAAACAAACATTCCTCCACATCCGTTCGCCGGTTTGAACTGACTACATGCCACAAGCGTCACAAAGGTGTCACAATCCTCAATCGGATCATCTTCTTCTTCGTCCACTTTGAAGGTGTCCAAGATCTCATGCGTGACCCTCAGAAACATATCAATACCACAGACTGATTCAAGATGATTCAAGTCTACCAGTAGTAGATTCATAGATGAAGACTATCCATGCTGTATGGTCAATCCTGCCTTGACAATCCTGCCAATGCTCGTGCTGAAAAATCTAGGAACCAAATCACTAGTGCGAGCGCTTCGTCAAGGAAGCTCCACCCTGCCGCTTGGGGGGAGCTTCCTTGAAAAAGCGTGAGCTATGCTGCATCCATACTAGTAGCGTCTTAGTAGCTAGGAGCGGGCTTAAGAATTATATATATATGATATGATATGAATGTATTGTAGTAATACTACATGTAACTATAGAAATACAGATAAAAAAATTAATATTCCACAGCGAGGTGCGTGCTCATGCACTCGCCACTTTTCTAAGCTCGAAAGGCTGGCTAAAGGTGCACCTGCGGACATGAGAACGTGAGGAACCTGAATCACGAACGGGCATGCGTGGTGCAAGACAGCTGGAAATTCTCACTGGTAACTTTCTTCTTTCGTGATTCGGGGCTCACAAGCTGAGTGAAGGGGGCGTTCAGCCAACTCCGAAACACTTCCCTCAGCTGCTTGGTGGCTTTTGTCAAGCCGTCGGCCCATTGGGCCGAGGTTGGACACCAGCGGATGGTGGCAGCAGAAATGAACTGCTGGATGCTTCTCAGATCCACGTAGGTGCGCTTCTCCGTGGTTCGTGGATACTCAGCTGAGATGGCATCGTGGAGACTCTTGCAGTCTGTTACCTGCAGTTGGTGGAGCCGCCATGAACTCAAGTCCTTCTTCGGCTTCTCACCTGTCAGCAACTCGCTGAGCATCAGGTTGGCGAAGTAGCTGCGATCCACGCAGTCATCGCAGGACATCGCTTCGCATGCGAGGGTTGACCTGCAAACCCGTGCAGATCTGTTGCTGCGCCAATCGATGAGGTTGGCTTTGGCATTCACCTCTGTGCGTTGGGGTGAGGTGATGAGAACCAAGGCGCCTTGTTGGCTGGCGCATTGAGCAGCATTCGCCCATGAGGCATCGGCGTAGCCGACTATGACGCTGGCCTTGTCCACAGAGCTGTGCAAGCTCCGGCTTGGTCTGGGAGGCGAGCCACTGTAGTGACCCTGTGACGGATCTGAATTCCGTCTGTTCCGCTGTGGAGAGCGGTCCACCCTGAGCGACGCGGCCTCCCTCCAACTTGCCATTGTGGAGTTGTCCACAAACTTGTCCTGGGTGACATGGAGGTGGATGGCTTCTCCATGTTTCTTGAGCGTCGGCTCCTTTCCCTTGAACTCCAGCGGCTGGTCCATGGCCCCAAGACAAGAGGCTAAGGAGCTCCTCTTTCTGGTAGCTTGCTCTGCAAGTCATCAAGAAATCGTCCACGTAGACGATGCAGAGAGAGACGAGGCGTTCGTCTTGCCTCTTGTAGAACATCATCTTGTCAAGGTGGTGCTGAGTGTAGCCCACTGACAACATGCGCTTGATCACTTCTCGTGACCATGTGCGTGGCGCACTTGCTAGCCCGTATATGTTCTTGAGGAATCTGTATGTAGAGCTTGGCTTTGAACGTACCAGCTCGGAGAGTGATGGCATCCCCTGGCGGCAAGAGGTAGAGGGGCTCTGGCCTCTCGTGGCCCTCGAAGGTGCCCTGCATGAAAGCTGTGGACACATCTCCGGCCCATAAGATCCATCCTTCAGGATCTGCTTCCATGAGGCCGTTGGCTCCTGCGGTGAAGATGCTGAGCAGGATGTATTCCGATACTCTCATTGGAGTCGGGCTGTCCCTTGAGATCCGATGCAAATCTGGATCTAGGTGCCGAGTGCGACCACTCGTGTCTTGGCGGTGAGCTCCGTGACCCTGCGCCTTTGCGCAGGATAGGCCAAAATGGCGGCCGCTTCATCATCTGGCATGATGGCTTCCACTGAGCCCCAAGTCATCCAGCCCTTTTCTTCCTTTTGGGCTGAGGCCACATAGGCCTTGATGTCATCTTCTGGCGTCTTCATGATCTCTCGCCAGGGGATCTCGCGCTCAAGCGCTTTTGCTTCTTTGCGGCTCATCAGCCGTGATGCTGGGTCCGTAGCATCATCTGGACCTGAAGATTCAGCATCGGATTCTTCTTGAGCGCCGGTGAGGTCGGTCAAGAGGGCTGCATAGCCCTCGGCGTGCAGAAGTGGTAGCGCAGCTTGTGCGAAGGTGATGCAGTGCTGTTGGTTCACAATGTATGTGGGTGGTGAACCGTCCCACGTGTAGTGTGGTGGATTGATGCTGTCGTGCGTTGATGCCAGCATTGCCTCATATGTTCGCTTCTGTGGAAGCGTTGGCAGTGCAGTCTGCTCTGTGCTTGCTGCTTCTGCGTTTGTATCTGCTGCTGCCGATGCTTCTGCTGTGCCTGTATGTGAGCTGGAGAATTGAGTTGTCGTAGACCCTGATTGCCGTGCAGAGTCTCGTGCCTGTGATGCCTGTTCTGCCTGTTGTTCCATGCTGCCCTGCTGTTGCTGTTCTGCCTGTGTTGCATCTCCTGCCGGTGCAGTCGCAGGTGGTGCAATTGGCGCCGGTTGCCGTACTGGTAGAGGTGGTGTTTCTGGCACCGGCGTAGTCCATGCTCCTCGTGCTGGGGTCCTCGGTGTATGAGGTGTCCCTGAGGTGAGTCGAATTCGACGGCTGGTCGGTGTGCGTGACCGGGCCGTCCGTGTGAGACCATAGCGCTGTGGGTGATAGTCCAACGGGGTGGTCGTTGGTTCAGCCTGTGCGCTTCCAGCAGTGGGCGATGCTGGATATGAGTGGATGTGTATCCCACTCAAGTGTAGGTTCGTTGTTGCCTCTTGCTGTATGCGTTGTTCTGTCACCTGTTGCACCCTTTGGTGGAACGTAGGTGGGGCGCTCTTTGCCCGTGGTGTATCCTGAGCTGCCTGTTGTGATGCTTGTCGCTCAAGATGCTGTGGTGGCGCCAGAGGTAAAGCAAGTGGCATTGGACCTGTTTCAGATGCTGTGGCTTGTTCTGCTTGTGCTTCTGCAGCTGCCGCTGTGTTGTCCTCCAAGGCTCCAGCTGGTAGTCATAGGAGTCTTCATCTATTGGTGGAGCTGTTGCTTGGCGGTCTTCCCAGAGGCCTTGGCGTGTGTTGCGCGCTGCCTCTTTCAGCATTTGCTGATCTTCTCGGGAAGGTTGCCAGTGCTCAAAACCGACGGCTCCTCGAAGTTGCTCCAATGCTACATGCACTGTGGTTGTCCCTGAGTGGACCCATGCTGACTTGTTGTCCGGGTCGTAGGACAGGAATCTTGCCACAATCCAGGCTCCTTTCTTCTTGGTCGATTTGCCCTTGGGGACTTGCCAGCGCCAGTACGCACAATTCTGGCCTGGGAGCAAGTCTCTTTGGTGTGAGGCTGCCGTCTTCCGGAGCAAAGCTCGACGGAGTGCTTGACTGGTATTGATGTCTGCCAGGGCCTTAGCTCGCAGGACGGTGCCTATCTGGTCTGGGTGGCAGATGAGGGCGGTGTCATCTTGGAGTAGCCCTGAGCCAATCCTTGGGATCTGGCCAAACACTGGCGGTCGACCGTGGCTGTAGGTCATCGAATTGAGGGCGTGCGTCGCCGCTTCGATGGCTTGGTCGAAGTCATCCACGTTGAAGATGGCTTCTGCATCGATGATGCGTTCCACGATGTCTCTAAGAACGCTGTTCCTTCTTTCGATCAAACCCACCCGCCAGTGAGCTTCAGCGGGGATGAACTCGAGCCAGATGCCGCGCCGCTCGGCGTACTGCTTGAAGTGGAGGCCGTAGTTGGTGCCTGGGTCACACCTGATGGTGACAGGGAAACCAAAAGGTCGGAACCATAGCTGTCGGAAGAGCTGCAGTGTCGTCTCTGAGGACATATCTGGGAGTCTGGCTGCCTTATGCAGTAGTGTTGACTGGTCGATGATTCCCAGCACTGGGTAGTTGATTCCGGCTACATCTCTGCAGTAGAAGACGTCCGTCTGCAGTGAGTCATTGAACTGTCCCAGGTTGGCCTTGGGGATCGTCGGAGGTCTTGGCTGCTTGGCCGGCTTGGCCCGTATGCAGCTTGAGCAGTGCACATGTTTCACTGCTGTGATCATGTGCTTGGAGATGGCTCGTTGGTAAGCGAGGAGTCTCAATAGCTCTCGCTCGGATGGATGGCCCAGGTTCATACGCAGTCTCCTCACTGCCGCCTTCACTTCTCGTTTGGGATGCCCGGAAAGGTGACCATCTCAATGATGGATGAAGGCGCTAGCCGTGGAGGTTGCTTTTGGTTTCGTTGGGGTTGTGATACATCATGTTTGGAAGGTTGCTCCTCGGTGGTGTGGAATTGATGGGATCGCCAAACCCATACCAGAAGATGCCATAGGCCACGCCTTTGGAGAACCGCTGCTTTGGGAAATGCATGCCATCCAATGCTTCGGCTTCAACTGGCCATCTTGATACTCCAGCACTGCTCCTCTGTGAGTGAAGCGGATATCTCTTGGAAGTCGTCGCTGAACTGGTGTCCTTGTGACTTGGACACGAATGAGTTCCCATGGAACTAGGTTGGAGATGTTGTGGTGCAAAGGGTCTGTGTCCGCCAAGGTGAACGAGCGGACGGTGGTGGACCCAAAAATTCGATGGACTTGACGAAGAACATCCATCCATGCTGCTGGGCCCTGCATAGGTTCTTGATACAGGACTTCATGCGCTGTGAGGAAGCGCTGTGGCCATCGTCTGCGAGCTTCGACCTTGATGGCACGAAGGATTGCCCTGCACATCTTCTCCGGGTAGCGTGCACTGAGTCGGACTTCCTTGCCGATGAGGGGCGCGCAGTACATCTGTTCTTCTTTGGTGAGCTTCCTTGAGAGGGCAACGGCAAGCTCTCTGGAGTTGGTGAGCCACTGGTAGACCTTGCGGATTGTCTCCTCGGCTGTTGCATCCGCCATATGCTCCTGCGTGACACTGGACCACATACACATCATCCCGGATGGCCAGGGTCTGAAGTTCTGGAAGTTCCTAGATGCGAGATGGTGC